GTTTGTTATATATGATACCTATTATATGATACATAATATATGATACCTACCTATATGATAGTTAGTATATGATACATAATATATGATACCTACCATACGATACCTATTATATGATACATAATATATGATACCTACCATATGATAGCTAGTATATGATACATAATATATGATACCTACCATATGATACCTATTATATGATATATAATATATGATACCTACCATATGATACCTACCTATATGATCCCTATTATATGATACATAATATATGATACCTACCATATGATACCTAGTATATGATACATAATATATGATACCTATTATATGATACATAATATATGATACCTACCATATGATACCTACCTATATGATCCCTATTATATGATACATAATATATGATACCTACCATATGATAGCTATTATATGATACATAATATATGATACCTACCATATGATAGCTATTATATGATACATAATATATGATACCTACCTATATGATTCCTATTATATGATACATAATATATGATACCTACCATATGATAGCTATTATATGATACATAATATATGATACCTACCATATGATAGCTATTATATGATACATAATATATGATACCTACCTATATGATCCCTATTATATGATACATAATATATGATACCTACCATATGATACCTATTATATGATACATAATATATGATACCTACCTATATGATCCCTATTATATGATACATAATATATGATACCTACCATATGATACCTACTACAAGATATCTAGTATATGATACCTACTTATGTGATAATTACCTATATGATACCTAATATATGATACCTAATATATGATACCTCCCTATATCATACCTCCCTATATGATACCTACCTATATGATACCTACTATATATCTACCTAAATGATACTTACCTATATGATACCTAATATATGATACCTATCTATATGATACCTACCTATATGATATCTACCTATATGATATCAACTATATGATACCTACCTATAAATACATTCATTCGGATGAGTTCTTCGCTATGATACATTTGGGCGATATTTTAAATTGTTGTTGTATCCCTCTCCCCCTACAGACAATGAATTGTACATATGGGGAATAGTTAAGACATCATGGAGATTCTGAGGTATTATGGTGGATATAGTTAGAATGGTAAGTTAGAACGCATTGTTTTGGTGCAAGGAATATTGTATTATATTTGGCCCAATAATTGTGACTAAGTTTAATTATAAGACAGAAGAAGACCATCTTTTCCCTGTCGCCCCTGTTGGCCTCTTGACACTTTTTTGTATTTTATGCAGAATAAATATTGCTTATCTCATTGGTACCTAGACTTTATGAATTAAAATTCAAATAGAATTATTTTATTGTTAAATCCTGTAACCTGGAAACACTGCTACTGTCCAATTTCTAAAATGCAAATATCTGCGATATTACCGGTCCTGATATTGCACCTCGGCTTCTGTCACTTTCCCACCGCCCTAATGTACCTTCATTGTGTCTTTTCTATAAATACTTTCATAGTAATTACTCTGATGGGTTTAGATTTTTTAAATGTTATTTTATCAACCGCCCACAGACACAATTTTAAGTGTGTGGACTAGTTAGAACTTCATAGAGACTCTGAGGTATTATGGTGAATGTAGTAAAAATGGTAAGTAAGAATGTGTTGTTTTGGTGCATGGAATATTGTTGTATGTTTGGGTCAGCGATTGTCGCTAGCTAAGTTGAATGTTAAGACAGAAGAATACAGTGCATTTCCCCATTCCCCATATTGGCCTTGTGCCACATTTCCGTATATACTCAGAACAAATATCACACTTTGCTATGGTACCTAGACATTAGGAATTTAAGCGCACCACCATGGACCTAATATGTGAGCAACGATGAGGTTTTGGAGAGGATACTTAACTTCAGGAACAGGCAGCTGAAATTTCTGGAACAGGTAATAAGAAAGGAAGGCTTGGAAAATCTGATACTCAAAAGACGGATAGAGGGACAAGGAGAAAGCAACGCGTGACAGAGCGGGCTTAAGCAATTGGATGGCAGAAAAGAGTCTGGGAGAAGTAGCAAAAAGACAAAACTTACACTATTTACATTCTTCGGACTATTGTCCTCATCTTTGTTGCCATATTCATTACAACGGCTGTACGCTCCGGCCTTCTTCGGGGGGTTGGAATGTCGAACTGAACACTTTATTTCGCTCACTGGGGTAGACTTTTCTAGTTCCACGTGCCATGTTTAATGGATGTCAGTTATCTGTTATCTCCAGTTGATTCCCCTCTGAAACGTTGAAATAAATATGGCGATAAAGATAAGGACAATAGTGCGAATAATGTAAATAGTGTACATAATACCTCATCTTAGAAATATAGACAGATACTAAAAAGCCGAAACGTTGTAATAAATATGGCGACAAAGATGAGGACAATAGTCCTAATAATGTAAATAGTGTACATAATACCTCATCTCAGAAATATAGACAGATGCTGAACGGCCAAAACGTTGTAATAAATATGGCGACAAAGATGAGGACAATAGTCCGAATGATGTAAATAGTGTACATAATACCTCATCTCAGAAATATAGACAGATACTGAAGGGCCGAAACGTTATAATAAATATGGCGATCAAGATGAGAACAAGTCCGAATAATGTAAACAGTGTACATAATACCTCATATCAGAAATATAGACAGATACTGAACGGCCGAAACTTTGTAATAAATATGGCGACAAAAATGAGGACAATGGTCCTAATAATATAAATATTGTACATAATACCTCATCTCAGAAATATAGACAGATACTGAAGACAAATCTTCTTGAAAATTACAAGAATGGAGAAAATGGAGAGCCATGAACACCTACGTAAGGAGAAGATTAGATTTGTGGCAACGTCTTATCAATTCACAGTTAAAATTGCTAAATATAACTGCAAGTTCTATGCTTGTATTTTATTTTCAAGCATTTTTTGCCTGTGGGATTCTCTTTCTCTTCCATGTTTTGCTGACAACGTTAATTTTAAAAAATCTAAATGTCTCTTTTTTTCACTTATTCTTCCAGACTCGATAACTTGTTTCTTAGTGGCTTTATTGCCTTACATGGAGTGAGTAATATGATAAAAAGAAACAACTGTCGAAATTTTTTCAATATTTCGACATTTAAAAAAAAAATGAAATATTTTTTTTTTTATAATTTATTCATATTTCTGACACTCTATTGATCCATTCTCTCTACGATGATCTGGAAAGAGAGATTTCTGTAGTACTTATAATTGTTAAACTATACAATCGTTTTAATCATTTAACTCCTGGCAAGGCGATAATGCCACTAAAATGGGTGAAGTTACTGAAAGAGATTTAGAGGAATTAGTAATGATGAAATAAAATAAAAGAAACGCTTTCAGGAAGTCAAAAGATGGCGATTGGCATTGCATTTACATTTTTGAAGATTTTTTTTTGGCAAGGAAGAAGGTTCTAAACTTACAAACATTTGGGAATCTGTTTTCAACGCAACGAAAATAAAGAAAAATGTTTTTTTTAAAACTGTAGATTATTACGTCCGACATATTAGATTCTTACTAAAATGCGGATCTTTTTCTTCTCATTAACTATCAGCATTTGGGCATTTCGACGTAGTGTAATGGTTAATAAGCTTGTTTTGCTACATCAATTACAACTGCGTATTGAGGTCGATCCTTACTAGGCACACCATACATTTGACCTTGTGCCACATCTAAGCTACACTACGCTAAGAAAATCATTTTAGACTATACGATGTGGTGTAATGGTTAGTAAGTTTGTCTCGCTAGATCAATTACGACTGAATAGTGAGTTCGATCCTCATTGGGTACCCCATACTTCCGGCCTTGTGCCACATCTACGCTGTGTTTAGAAAATCACAATAGTTAGTAAGCTTGTCTCGACACATCAATTACGACTGAGTAGTGAGTTAGATCCTTACTAGGTGCCCCATACATTCGGCCTTGTGCCACATCTAAGCTATGCTTAGAAAATCATTTTGGACACTTCGATGTAGTGTAATGGTTAGTAAGGTTGCCTCGCTAGATTAATTACTACTGAATAATGAGTTCGATACTCACTGGGTGCCGCATCCAAGCTACGGTCAGAAAATCCCAATTAACTATAACAGGGGTCATCAAAGTACGGACTGCGGGCCAGATCCGTCCTCCGATGTCAGTTCATCCGACCCGCCGCTTCACTGTGTCTCAAATGAGCTAAAATATAATTATTTATATGGAATTATCAATAGATTGTAGTTAAACTTGCTATGTAGAAAAAATTTAAAATAAATGTAAGTAAAAATGACAAAATTTGGCCAATCTGTTTTTTGCATCTGATAGTAATATAAGCTTTAGGAAAATCAGTGAAATAAAGAATTCGGCAACCTTTTGGCAACTTTTGATATCCGATCGCTTTTTGTGTAAGTACCTGCAATGAAATTTCTAAAAAAAGCGATTACAAACCTGCTGCGGCAATTATGTTTTAACTTGCATTGCCGTGTTTAAACCATTTTGAAGATTGCTGTATAAAAAAAGGACTGACTTCAGCAAATTATGTCATATATTTTGCCTGAACTTATAATAAAGTCTAAAGTATGTAAAGCCAGCAGATGTAACGAGGTTGACTGATGAACATTTGAAAGCATTTTTCTTGGTTGGATGCAGCAATACCAAAACAAATATTAATTACATCTTAAACGGTAAATGCCAGTTTCACAAATCTCTCTAACTTTTTGTGCTGCTTAGTTTTTGAGATTCGGATATGTGCGCACTTGGTGGGATATGACTATAATTATTGTTTTCTTCTTTTATAACATTTTGGTAAATAAGTGTGTGTTGTCTTTATTTTGGGGGGCATTCAGTGTCTTTTATTGAAAAAAATGGTTATCTGCCTCACACTCGTTATTCTCTCAGTTAGCTGGCTTTCTGCGAAAAAAAGTTTGGTGACCCCTGAACTATGAGATCTTTTCACATCATTCTTTTGATTTTCATGACTTTTTTTTTCTTTTTCTTCTGGTTTCATTTATTTCTCATTCAAAATCAGTTTTCTTGTTATACTTTTTTTTCTTTCCTTTTTATATGAAGTTATTATTGTTATGCTATCATTCGCTTCTCGTTCACATTCAAACTTTCTTTCTTTTCCCTCTATTCTTCTCTTTTTCTATCCATTCTGAGATTACATTGTCTCTATTCTTTCTTTCTTTCCTTCACTTTCCATTTCGATTCCCATTTCCTTCTTTGTCTTCGCTATTTTGTTTTTTCTTTTATTCATTTCTAATTCACATACAAACAATTCCTTATTTGCATATTTCTTTCTTTCTTCTCTATTCATATACGGGCTTCTTTCTTTCTTTTTCTTTAATTTCTCTCTCCCATTCCCATTAAGATTTCTTCTTCTTCTTTGTTCCCTTCTTTCTTTATTTCATTTCCAATTCGCCTTATTTCCTTCTTTCTTTTTTCTTTCCTTCATTATTTGTTTATTACTCATTCACATTGGGACTTCTTCTACTTTTCCAACTTTTTCTTCTTTATTTTTTTCTTTCATTTATTTTCAGTTTACCTAAACCATTTCCTTATTTGCGTTTCTTTCTTTCTTCCCCATTCACATTCGGTCTTTCTTTTTTTTCGCTCATTCTCTCGCCATCCAAATTCATTTTTTCTTCATCTTTATTATTCTCTTTCTTTCTTTCATTTCCAATTGACAATTAACTTCACCTTATTTCTTTCTTTATTTCTTATTCACATCCTCATCTTTTTTCTTCTTCTTCTTCTTCTTCTTTTTCTTCTTCGTCGCCGTCGTCGTCGTCGTCATCTTATTATTATTATTATTCCTCTTCTTCGTCGTCTTCTACTTCTTCTTCGTTGTCATCATCATCTTCTTTTCTTCTTCTACTTCTTCGTCGTCGTCTTATTATTATTCTTCCTCTTCGTCGTCGTCTTCTTCTTTTTCTTCTTCTTCTTCTTCTTCTTCTTCTTCTTCTTCTTCTTCTTCTTTTCTTCGTCGTCGTCATCGTCGTCGTCTTATTATTATTATTATTCCTCTTCTTCGTCGTCTTCTTCTTCGTTGTCATCATCATCTTCTTTTCTTCTACTTCTTCGTTGTCGTCTTATTATTATTCATCCTCTTCGTCGTCGTCTTCTTCTTTTTCTTCTTCTTCTTCTTCTTCTTCTTCTTTTCTTCGTCGTCGTCATCGTCATCTTATTATTATTATTATTCCTCTTCTTCGTCGTCTTCTACTTCTTCTTCGTTGTCATCATCATCTTCTTTTCTTCTACTTCTTCTTCGTCGTCTTATTATTATTCTTCCTCTTCGTCGTCGTCTTTTTCTTCTTCTTCTTCTTCTTCGTCTTCGTCTTCTTCGTCGTCTTCTTCTTCTTCGTCTTCTTCTTCTCCTTCTTCTTCGTCGTCGTCGTCGTCTTATTATTATTCTTCCTCTTCGTCGTCGTCTTCGTCTTCTTCTTCTTCTTCTTCTTCTTCTTATTATTATTATTATTATTATTATTATTATTCCTCTTCGTCGTCGTCTGCTTCTTTTTCTTCTTCTTCGTCGTCGTCGTCGTTGTCGTCTTATCATTATTATTCCTCTTCGTCTTCTTCTTCTTCTTCTTCTTCTTCTTCTTCTTCTTCTTCTTCTTCTTCTTTCCTTCGCTCTCTCTTCTGTCCGAGCCGTATGAAATGAGTCAACCACGAAAACCAAAAAAAAAAAAAAAAAACCAAGCAAAAACAAAAAAAGCCAGCAAAAACCAGTTTCGCTCTCAGTCTCGGATTAACGTTTCTCTTGCATGATGTTTTAGCCCCGTCGCATCGCCTAGCTCGTTCGCCGGAACACGTGTATGAAGACACTTAACCTTCTTCCTCTTTCACTTCCTCCGTCTCCTCCCCTCCCCCAAAAAATCAACTCACCCACTCGAACTCCCCCCCCCCCCAAAATCCTCCACAATTGCCCTACTGTTAAAAGCGCGTTTACATTCCCACGCAAACGGATTCAGAAACATTTCTATGTCGAAACAAAATCCCATTACGCGCAGACAATTCAGATGTAAAACAGTGGACTGATAGTTAAAAACTGCAAACCTATACCGAGCTAGTGATGCTCCTTAACAATTTCACGTTAGCTATTTTCTTCTTTCTGTAACGTGTCTCTTCATGACGTTGGCGATCATGAGCCTCTACATCTTCCTCTCCCTTAATAAATTCTGTATTTTTGCTATCTCTCTCAAACACATTTCTAACGTCCATTTACTCAAGATTGTTCTTCAACTTTTTTCTAAATTGTCTTGTTTCTTCAGGTCGTTGGCGATCATGGCTCTCCACAATTTCCTGTCCTTTGTAGCTCTTAATAATTTTTATCTTTTTGTTATCTCTCCAAAACCTTGTTCTGCCATCCATTTACTCAAGCTCGTTTTTATACATTTTGTATGTGGCGTGTCCCTTCAGGACGTTGGCGATCATGGCTCTCCACAATTTCCTGTCCTTTGTAGCTCTTAATAAATCTTGTCTTTTTGTTATCTCTCCTAAACCTTGTTCCGCCATCCATTTACTCAAGCTTGTTCTTCTACTTTTTTCTGAATGCCGTGTCTCTTCAGGACGTTGGTGGTCATGGCTCTCCACAATTTCCTCTCCCTTGTACCGCTTGATAAATTCTGTATTTTTGCTATTTCTCTCAAATTCTTTTATAACATCCATTTAATCAAGGTCATCAAATATGTTACACGCTGCCCCCCTCTGTCCCTCTGTCTCTCAATCTGTCCTGTGAATATCAGATTTGCCAAGCCCCACTTTCTCAATACGTGTCCCAGAAATTTCAACTGATGTTAAGTATAAGTTTTCTTTTTTGTTTCCATTTTCTCTAAAACCTCATCGCTGCTCACACGTCCGAACGACGGTATCCTCAGCATCTTTCTGTAGAACCACATTTCTGTTACTTAGAGTCTCTTCATCTTTGGGGAGATTGTCTAGCATTCGCTGACAGATAGAAAAACATATATCACACAACCCTTCTGTATTCTCTCTAATAAATATCTGGAAAAACTACGACCAGTTTTAAGACAAATACAGATACTAAAATATAGAAATATCCATATTAATATTTTTGTGTCTAATATCAACATAGAAAGAAAGAAAATTACAGTACCTCGTAGGGCGGATATTAAAGGAAAGCTGGAGTAAAAGACTAACAAGGAAAAAAGGCAAGGTGTGAGCTACAAACTAGAAACGTCAAATTCAAGCCACTATCTTCCCCACATATCCATCTAATATTTGCCTCTACCTCGCGTGACTCACGGACTTTGTACAGGGCGAATATCTCTATAAAAAAACATACAGATGTTTAATATCGAGCTCAACCTTTTCTCTTTAGGCCCTACAAATCTTAATCAGTAAACCTCTAGTTTGAGTGGCACTTGTGCCTTTTATTACGGGAACAATATTATAAAAAGATCTAGCAAATGTTTTACCATATGTATGAAAATGTGTTCCTCTTTCCTTTAATAAACCATGTGTGTGTTAAATTCGCCTATCCTCTTTCCTCATTCTATGTTCAAGATATTTCAACTGCCTCTTTCTGGTTTTTATTATAAGTGACCTTCTTTTTTCAGTTTTCCTTAGTAGCAGTAGTGGTCAACAAAGAAAGCTCGTTAATTGTAGCCACGAACTGAGGTACCCTTTTAGATGTTGCATGTATGGGACACTTATTGAAGATCGAAGTCCCTATTCATTATTAATAATCAGATTAGCTCTTTAAAAATTGAACCACGCCATGGTATCCTAAATATTTACTAAACTTGCTTACTTTGGCACAAGAATTAAACTTACTCATCAAAAGTAACGTTCAACCAAACTAGCTTATTAACCATTACACTACGCTGAAGCACCTCAGATATATTCACAGAGTTTAATTTATTTGACACAAGGATACAGCTATACATATATCTCGTTAACCATTGCGGAATTACCGCCTCCTGATGATAATCACAGACCGCACGTTATTTGGAAGGCTTTTTCTCTTTTATGCCGACTGCACCTCTGCAGAGGGGTAAGACCCCTTCCCTCAAATGAGGCGTCCTGGGGGAGACGATCAACTACGTCCGAGAGTAAGGCCTCTGATCAGGAGGTTTTGAGAAACGTGGAACCAACTCTTAATTTCTGGTGTTCCCAACTCCACCTTGACCAGGGTGGTAGCACCTGTTAGGGTCCTAACTATGGCCAAATAGTTAACCCCCAAACTGGGGTCAAAACACGCTGAAAATGTAAAAATAGGTTTTAATACGACCAATGAATTTTCGAAGAAAAAACAAAAAAAAAACAACAAATCTTTTCCCTTTGAGTTTTGGAATAACAACACAGGTTCCGTGTGGCTCCGATAGACAAGAGACATAAGTAATTCAGAGGTACAGACTGAAGACTGTATTGAACTGTACATAATTTCAACTTTGTTTCTTCCTTTATCATTCTGTAACATGCCTTGTTAATATATTTGTTGATTGTTGATTGTTTGGAATCCATGTTTTGTACATTTTTTACCCGATCTCATACGCGTCCGCCAAATATTGCTTGCAGACAAATGTACCAGCAGGCATGAAACGGATAAAAATTTTCGTTCCCGTAACATTAACCCATGCCGAGGCAGAATGTTTTTGAACAATTATTCTAATTGCTTCAGAATGTCACCAGTAACGTGAAATATCATTTTAAATGATATCGTTTGAGCAAGTCTGAACGGACGTTTTCCACTTGCTTCTTTCTATAAGCACCTTGTTTTCGGCGAGACTAGAACTAAATGAATTACCTGACGATCTTCTTTTCGAAAAGAAATGATCTCTTTCTAACCACTGCTTAGTTCTAAAATCTGTACATGTCTTTTTCCCTTCAGGTCATGACCGATAATGGCTCTTCCATATTCCGATGCTTTTTATCAAGGTTTCCCTTTCAATTACCAAGCCCCTTTTCTTCTGTCTATTTATAACGGTTCATTAGACAGGTTACCCGCTGTTTCCTTCTGAACGGTTTGCTTTCAGTATATCCTGTGAGTGTCGAATTCTCCAAGCCTTTCGTTCTCATTATGTTGCCCAGAAATTTCAGCTCTCTCTTCCTGATTCAAAGAGACCTTTCTGTTTGCATTTTGACCTGATTTTATTGCTAATGTCCACGCGTCATCTTTTACGTTTGATAGTCATTTATTCCAACATTCTATCTTACCTTATTTAAGAGTTTTTTTCTTATTATTATTCTGCCATTAATACAGTATCACCTTTGTATCATTTGTACCTATTTACATCTACATCTTTCAGGAAGTGGGCGATCATGGCCATTCACAAAAACACCACCTGAATGATTGTCATCATATTCATGAGTGTACCTTTAGAAATCAAGACGAGTAGCACCTG